ATTAGACCAATGAGGTAGCTGTAGAATTTATCTTCTTCCATGCAATCAGCATCAGTAAGTTGCCAATTTACACTACTCAAGTCGGAATTTTTGTCAAAGAATTTGGTGCAGATGGTTAACAATGCAAATTTTATGCTATATAGCTCAGCCGTACCTATTAGGATGGATTCGATGCCCTTGCAAATACTCATGAGTCAATTAGGCAATAATCTAATGTGAAGTACCTCGAGGTCAAAAAATTATTCGTCAGTTCACTACCATAGCTTCTGTACTGAAACCATTGTGGTGCTATGTGGATTCGGAAGACGCAGAAGTTACAGAGGCGTTTGACCGCTTCTTTGTGATCGAAGTGAGTGTATCTCAAAAAAGCCAGTAGGAATGTGTCATCTGTGAATAAGGATTTAAATAAATAGTCAAATTCCTATTGATAATTAATTGGTTCCTTGCAATATTTAATGAAAATGACATAGCTTTGAATCGTGCATTATAGCAACTTTAGAATGCCTATTCTGTCATAGATGGCGTTTTAATGTCTTACCAACAGGACAGCGCAACGACGGCGTAGCAAGATACCAGAGCCTAAAATTTTCCAAACATTGGGGCAGATGTTCTGGTCTCTCCTGCAACTCATCAATAGCCTTCTTCTTGAAGACATCAGGAACCACAGATTTTTCATTAAAAGTTGTGAATGGAAGGAATTGTGACTGTGAAGTTGCCCTTGTCGTGGGTTTTCGAAAGCTCCATCGAAACCTAGATTGTTTGATGTACGGTTCCGAAAATGAGCACGACGGTTAGCGGATTTAATGTTGTTGTACTACAACGTTTATTGTGTTGATACAAGTAAAGTACAAGCGGTATATGGTTATCTTAAAACGCACACGATTACGATTGACATTCTGTCAACGCGGTTTGCAATTGAATGGCATGAGTTATGGTAAAATATTTGGGAGCTGACTGTAAGTGACGTAAAGAACGCTAACAGGCTGTTATGGCACACAAGTTAGGTGGAATTTTTCACCATCTAGCCTGGATTATACCTTCCAACAAATCAAAGTATTCATGCCCATGTTCGCCAAACAAGACTTCTTGAAAGTGTTTAACTGTTTCAAGGTCACCAATGGAATAGAGTCATTCAACATATGCGAATGGTCAATTTGTCAAGTGGAATGCAGTCCATCTTTTTCTATCCTGAAATCAATCATTTTTATTTCTTAACATATCCCAGCCATTGAACGGGCTTTTAATAACATCACACGAAAGGGCACGATGTTCACTGAATTATTTTTGTATCTTGTTTAGTAAAAAGCATTACACAAAATGAGCCAAAATGAATCCCTTCCCTCGTACTAACAGCTAATTGTGTAGTATCATCATGCCGCATTTCTTCTTGATCATAGATAGAAAATTGTTTGCATTTAAGCGTCAATAGTTGATAGACAGTAGCTGTCTCGAATCCAAGTTATCAGACTTACATTTTCCTTTCACATGTAGTGGTTCTCTGAAATCTATTCGACTTCGCAGGTGACAAGCGCTTAAAAGTGACAGTGGCAACTGGCATTCCGGCAGCCAATAAATTGGCTCCTAAAGAAGTGTGCCACGGTATCAATGTGCAATGGTTTTTTTGAAGTGAACTCAGATTTTCCTGCGTCAGTGACGTTGTGATAAACGATGGCTGTAGGCTTTCCACTGTTTAGCATAGATAATCTTGAGATAATTTTAATGAGGTACCAACGGAAAGCCAGACCTATTTGAAATCTTTAGGGGTTGGCTAAAATCGGTTGCATCTCAAATGACCGGATGCTAAGAGTCAGTGTTTTATCAGTGCAGTTTGCAAAATTGTTAAAAGGAAGAAGTAGAAGTTTTGAGCTTTCTCTTGATATCTTATTACATGAACAAAATCAAGCGCTGGAAGTGGGAGCCAATGTCTGCATGGTTATCGCATTTACCAGAAAATGTATTCTCTTTGTTTTACTTAGTGTTTTAGGTAAAACCCCATAAATTGGCAGTAATACTTTATTTATGTGATTACGTGATGCTCGATGATTACATCAATATTGGTTTGGCCTTGCAGACGTAGGCTGACCATCTGGCCATGCCAACCTCCAATTCCACTTTCTTTTCTTAGAATGCATGCAGTCGGCTCAACTTAATGCCTTCTTCTGCTTATTGGAAAGTCTAGAGGTGCTACACTGGTAACAGCGGAAAGCAAACTCGACATTTCTAACAACTTCCATTCTGGAGGCAGCGCATTTACATCGCCTAAACTCTCCATAGCAGAAGGTTTGAGTATGATAACTGCGTTTGGCTCCACTTTGCCTTCATGTTCCATCGAAAAGATTAACAACTGAAATGACACTGCTGTGAACCATCTGGGGAAGACCAATGTATCAACGCCTAGTTGTGAACGCCATTGATGGCCAACCGAAATTTATCGTCACGATTCCGGCTTTCAGACCGAACGGAACTCTAGGTCCAGTTGGAGCCGCTGAGGAGACTAAGTACCGTTCTAAATTTCATGGTAGCTGATAGCTGGCGCAAGAGGTGTATTAAGGGGAGTGCTAAAGACCGCTCAAAAGAGAGAGGGCCAGTTTAATGTGTTTACGTGACCAACTGATTTTAGCAGTTATAATAATATACGATTTAATTCATGCATTCAAAGGGACGGAATATGGACGAGATTATAGCATGGTGGAAGTAGTGGTCCACCCAGGCGAGACAACATGTAAATCACTCAAACGAAGGGAGCAGCTAGACAACACCATCCATTTTATTGTTGGTTTAAGTTGGAGTCACTTGGGTGGACTGACTCCAACTGTCGGTCTCAACATCTATACAGAGGTTCTGTGACGTTACTCACTATGTTGTTTTAGCGACCCGAGACAACATAGCCGGTATAAAAAAGTCAGTAAGTGCAGTTGAATACATGAATTCTGAAGACGACAGGGCAAATGGGCCTGGGCATGACTCGAAGGCTAGCCCACGTGTGCAAGGGCCAGACAAACCCTAAAGTGACCGCCAAATGTCAGATAGTCAAGTAAACACAGCATTACAGTTGTTCGTTTAACCAAGTGTATGAATGCTAGTCTTTGGCTGCCATCTGACTCCTGCCATGCAGGATGACCTTCGGCCCAGGCTGTAGCAACACCTTTAAATATTTCGGCTCAACCAAGCTTTATATCTACTTAAATCAAATAAGAAGTCTCAGAACACCTCACTAGTGGCAGCGGAAAGTCAATCTGAATAAGCCACGAACCTCACCTTCATAATCATCGTTTTTGAAAAATTCGGCTGTGTAAATGAACTTCGTATTCTTAAAAGACAAGTTCCCTAACATCTCCAGAACATAGGAGCAGGTAACGACATCTGTGTTGCCTTACTCCGTTCCAATGCACTACAACCAAAATATTGGTAATTGAAGCGACACACTAGTTGCATATAATGATGCCTCTTACATGTAGATAGGCGTATAGACGATTACAGAACACTGGACCCTTCCATATGTGATTGCATCTGATCAAAGTTTCAATACCTGACTCACAACATAATTGATGGCTTAAAAAATATCTGACTTTGATTTCTACGCCTAAATTTATTGTGGTGTCATATTCAAGTGAGGCCATAGAGAAGCATATTATTAGCGCATCTGGTTCGTTGGTGTTTAATGGCGTTAAAACGGCTGACACAGGAGATGTACCGACTTCTTCTGTGACCGGCCATTACTTTTGGCATTCATCTTGCTTCTGCAGACAGGCTAGCCTTTTAATCAGGCTACAAACCTACTTCATTCATTTTGGTGCAAATAGAGGTGTTCATTCCAAACCTACGTCTCATTTTCCAAATAGAGAGTCTCGGGAGCTATTGCCATAATACTTTGTTTATGTGACCACATGACGTCTGACGACTACTTTAAAATTCGTCTGGCAGGATTTCGGGTCGAGACTGGGCTTAGTTCATTTGTTCTCCCCGGGATGCATGTATTCAGCATTACTAAATGCCCTCTTTTATCCATATCAATATCACTATCAGCGCATAAAACTTACTCAAGTTGTTAAAGATATGCATATCTCTCGGAAATGCGGTAAACTATATTGACGATCCCACACAAGAATAACAGCAAAGGCAACGACGCGTGGGCAAATTGCGTTTTCGCTTACAACTGTGTCAAAATGAAACCAGTTAAGGTAATTATGAATGACAAATTGAGTAACAATCATCAAATAATATATGTACTTGTTTTAATCTACAAACTTGTTTGATGTTGATTTGGGATCGAAGTTCGAGTAGTGTTCTTTGGTGGTGTGAGGCGTGTCTGCTCTTCGATTTCCGGCTTCCTCTGTTGGTATCGTTCTTGATCAAGTCGACGCAATTGTTCTTACCTTCTTGGGGCGTGACGTGGTGCTTATCTAAATTTACGAAATATATGACTCCTTTTATTGTTTTATTTGATTATGTATCTAGTGGGTTATACTGAAATATATTTGGACGAAGTAATATCCTTTCGAATTTACGTGCTAAATTTGGTTCGCATATTCTGTTTTGTTTTTTAGGTGATATTTCGTGTTTTACACTGCCTTTTGTCTTTACAGTTTCTCCGTATGCTGTGTATGTTATAGACTCCAAACTGACCTATATTGAATTATATAGTCTATCTCTTTATTGATGGCAAACGATTTTGCCTTGTTACTTGCAGAGTTGTGGCTTGACTGTCCTGCGAAGTCCTTTTTTGCTGTTTCTGGGCGATTCACATTTTGTAGCCTACTCATTTTACGAATTGTCTTATAATTCAGGATCTCCAGCAGGAATGTCATGCGCTGAATATGCGCCTGGATATGATGAAAAAGATGGAGTCAGAGTACCTTGAAGAGATAGAGGAGCTTAAAAGAACGGTTGACAATTTGGCACATCAGTTGGAAGAGAGACGCTGTGACCCCCATCCAGAAAGTACAGCGAATGTCACACTTGAAGCCAACAAATCTACGGTTGAAATCGTCCAGCAGATAGATCTGCTGCAGGCCGAATTGGAACTCAGCGAAAAGAAAATAATAGATTTGGAATCACAAAATGCTCTCCTTCGAGAACGCATCGATATTCTGGAACTTACGAAGGAAAGTGTATGTCGGGTGTTGTCTTAGTGTTTATATATTTGTTTGTGGAGCTTCGTGCATTAAAAACCTAAGCGATTTTCTCACAGAAAATTGCGGCTTTGTTCTTTACTCTGCTTTCTTTTAGTTGATTTCTAACTCTTTTTCCTCCTATTTTGTGCAGTTCACTTGCGTTTTGCATTTTCTTGCTTTATTTCGGTTCTCGGCCTAATTTGACAAATGAGATTGTGCTTCAAACCCCGTTCCCTTCCATGTCCCTTAACTACGCTCCCACTTTTAGACCATACTTAATACTACTGTTGAAAACACCACAAATGAGCTTATTGCAGAAATTGATGGCCTTAAAACGCAGCTTTGTTCCGAAATATCTGAGAAGGAGCGAATGCATATTCTGTTTGAAGAAAAAGAGCAGGATTTGGTGGCCGCTAGATTTCAAATAAATGAATTGCAATTGACTGTTAAGGTTCGTTCACTTGCACTTACATCTGTTACTTTACTTCATCAGCTCCCGATTCCCTAGGGGTCCATTTCAAACATTGATTATGAGTGAGTACATCTCTATTTATACTTACCTGTTTTAGCTCTTAAATGACTTGTGTTTTTCCTAATTATGGTTACTTTTTAATCATAAGAAGATAGAAATTGAGTTGGAAATGGAAATTAGTATTGCTTTTATATGCAGCCTTCATTTTTCATTGGCTGCGTATTCTTTCTACCTTAACATTTCAGCCCTTTTCTTCGTGCACGTTTGTTGTGCTTAAACTCCGTGTTTGAGTGCGCCACCGATTACGTTGATGGACTCGTATTAGAGTTCATCTCCGTCATCGAAGCGATTTACTTACTCATGTAAATGTCAACAGGTTGTTTTGTTGTTTGAAATTAGTCTAATTGTAGCATTAGTAGTTGTCTGTTAGTTTAGTCAGACACTTAAGCTTTGGAAAAGCTTTGGTCAATCAGTCTAATGGGACTTGAGCTGGAAGGCCTAGAATTAGGTCCTTTGTCATATAGTCATTTGGCTCCAGTGCCACTTTTAACCCATTGTACAAACCACACTGCAGAACCTGCGAGAACAAGTGTGTGACTTCACTGCAGAACTGGAAGGCCTTAGGCTGCAGGCTGGCTCAGTTAATAATTCAAGGGGGAACTCACTTTTCTCCGAG